AGAACAATTAATCAGTGGAACAGCTTGCCTCCAGAAGTTGTGAATGCCCCAACACTAGAAGTCTTTAAGATGATGTTGGATAGCCATTTGTCTGGAATGATATAGGGTTTCCTGCCTAGATAGGAGGTTGGACTAGAAGACCTCCAAGGTCCCTTCCAACTCTGCTATTGTATTATTGTATTACCTCCAAGGCTCCTTCCAGCTCATTCATTCTATTCTATTTGTCTGAATCCTGAGTGCATGTCTGTATCGGACTGTGTGTTAATATACACTATACATCTTTTACTTTGTGGTTATAGGCAACGGTACTGTATATTGGTTTGCAAGGTCTTGTTAGGGATCCTGGTTGGTATATAATAGCATGAAGATGTTTGGTTCTTGTCATACTAGCCAAAATATTCCAAAACCGATCGGTACTATCCTTAAATCTAGTGGGGATGGCAGCAATTGGTGGCTTTGTAGCTGAGACTGGTTACCTGGTCTAACCTCCTGGCTTACTTTAACAAGTGTCAAAGCCTCAGATGACTATGGCAGAGAGATGTAAATAAAGTTGTTCTGATCTTCTGGAGTGGAACTGATTAATATATGCTAGGAAGTAAAATACTAAAATATATATCAGAAAGTATATATTAATGTAATCTCTGTTATAATTGCATATGAAAGCTGCGGGAGTATAGTAATGCATGATGATAAAGAATCAGGTACAAATTTTGGAAAACACTGCATAATTCTAAATGAGCATAAGAGGATGTGGATGATTTTTAAATGATATACAGTATATTAGAATTATTGTTGCAAAAATGATGAAAAACAAACTTTAAAATTATTAAATATATTTATTTGTTTAAAATAGTTATACAGTTTGATTAAAATATTTTTCCTATCAAATTTTTATTTAGCTTTCCTATTTTTCCTTTGAGAAGGAAACTTATCTTTAAAACACTGTACCCTAAGGTAATTATATTAATGCAAGAAACATATATCCTCAAAAAGAATAGACTGTATTAGTATTGTGTGTGTGTGTGTGTGTGTGTTTGAGCATTCACAGAGCAATTCTCAAACAAGGAAAGTGTCTTAATTCCCACATGTTGGACTTCCTGCAAGGGGACCTCGAGAAGGGCCTTTCCCCGAGCACGCTCCGTCGTCAGGTGGCGGCCTTATCCACCGTATGGTCCAGAGATCCCTCTCTACCCCTCAGCAGGATTCCCAGAGTGCGATGCTTTCTTAAGGGCGCTTCCAACCTCCGTCCTCCCACTGTTCACTGCTATCCCACCTGACAGTGGTCAGTGGTTCTACAGGCTCTCACCTCTCCACCCTTCA